TTCAATCAGATGGAATCTCTCCTGATCTCCACGCGTTTTCAAAGATAATGGCCAAAGGCTCCGCAATGACATTTGCCAACTCCGTCAGTGCCCTCGGATGCATTAAATCCCGGCCCATGGATTTGTGTATGTTTAGCTTTTCTAAATAGTCCCTAACTTGTTCTTTCTCTGTCAGCCCTTAGGTCTGCCTGGTCCTGCAGCTTCTTTTATATTGGCCTGCTGCACTCTGATTGGCTGCAGCAGAGGCTGCCACTCTACTCTGCTTGGAGGACCTCTCTTCTGCTCCTAGCGCTGGGCAGGGTGCGGAAAGGCCTCCAGTAGGGATGTGGGGGCCTAGTCCACCCCATCCCAGGCACCCATCCAGGAAACCCCAGCCTGGCTGTTGTCCCAGTCAGTAGAGAGCTGATGCTCCTGGGAGCAGATTGTGACCCTCTCCAGTAGACGGCAGAGATGCATCGCTCTCCTGCACTTGGGGGTTGACTTACAGGGATTGCAGCTTTGTGTGGGGTTCTCCCCACTTCTGTCCCTCTCTGGTAGCACTTTCCTGTGAGCCTGTTAGAGCAGGAGGAGGCTCCTCGCCCCTGCCAGTGGGGCAGTCACTAGAGTCAGTCAGTGTCATCTTGATGGTCGTCTTAGCTGCAGCTGTGTGACTCGGTTTCCCTGTCTCTTACCCCGGCTCCCCCCTCCCACGCACGCTGCTGGCACCGTACTTTGAGCAGGGAGCAGAATCCACTCCTGCTCTGCTCCCTGGTCGAGCACTGCCGAAGTACAAGGACGTGCCTGGCTCTGCCACTTGCCTGGAGGAGCAGAGCAGTGCAAGAGAACCTCTCTCCTGCCCAGCAGGTGGGGAAGCTGGACCCTGGCCCAGGGAGGAAGTAGGGCAGATGTTTTTTGGGGTGGGGGAGGGAAAGTGGAGTGGGCTGGCAGTCTAGCCCACAGCATCATCCAAAACCCAAGAGCCGAGGAGGGGGTGTTCGGGTGGCCATCTTGGGCTGGTGGGTGATGTAGAGCTCGTGGCGGATCCCAAGGGACAGATGCCATGGAGGGGGGTTTCCTGAGGAGGGTGTAATCGGATGCAAGGCTCAGAATGTCCTGTGTGGAGCAGAACTGCCCCTGCGGGGGGTGCAGAGAACGCCAGCATCTCCCCGGCTTTGCACCACACAGAAACCTCTGCTGCTCGGTGGCTGGGGACAGTCCTCAGCCTGCTGCAGCACCCTCTGTGCCAGCCAGCCAGCTGGCAAGCGGGAAAGCATCTCCTGGACAGCCTAGCGCTGCTTGGCTTTTAAAAGCCTCTTGCAGAGGCAGGGCCCTTGCTGGGCGTCGGCAGCTGGCACGGAGGACACAGCTGTGGCTCACCAGCAGTTCCATGGAGTTCTAGCATCATTGCCCACTGCACCATGGACCGGGCAAGTCGTGCAGCTGGCAGCGGTGGAACTAAACGCAGTAGAGAAGCGCAGGGCACCCTGGCGTCAGGAGGCCTGGGTTCTGCTTCTGCCACCCACTGGCCAAGCCACGTAGCTAAGTCACGCCACTGCTTCCCCTTCCGCATGCCCGAGTAAGATCAGTCAGCTGCGTGGGGCCCGCTCAGAGCCCAGCTGCAAAGAGCCAGGCATGTTTGGTACTGAAGGTGGATTCTTCCAGCTGAGGGGTGGCGCGGGAACGCAAGTGCCGGTGGGAAGGGGAGCTCCTGTTTAATAGACGACTTGAGAGATGGCTGAGCACTCCTCACAGCTTTAAGCACCAATGCTAGCGCCAGCCCGGCTGCATCAGCGGCACCAGAAAAAGCCAGCGCACAATGGCCACAATGTCTCTGTTGCTGCCTTGTTTGGCCAGAGCTGGACCTTTGGGCTTAGTTTTCTAAATATGCATGTCTGAGAAACATCGGTGTCCCCTGTGGGATGCTGCAGTCCTAACGGCTGCCCAGGGACGGCTGGCCCAGAGCTGCACCCTCCTTCACGGCCCTGACACGAACCCGCTGCTCTCTGACCTCAGCGTGCTGGCGTTTCTCGAGGGAGGGGGGTGTTAACTTTGGAATGGAAAGTGACGGGCGCACGGAGCCCCTGCCCTCTGGTGAGCAGAGCTGTCAGTTTCCACCCTCTCGGTAACTGTCGCGGCGCTGGTTGCTGGCAGCCACGAATGCCTTCCACGGTGACGAGATCTGCAGCTGTGCAGGGGCAGAAGTTGCATTTCACAGCCATTTTGAGACTTGGCTTGGTTCTGAATCGGAGCAAAAACTTGAAAAGTTGGAAAGAAACCAACAACCGTGTTTGGACAAAATCAAAACATTTGGTTTCGACTTGAAATGCTTCAGTTTTGCATTACAGCAAAAGGTTCCTGAAGGACTTACAGACAGACGGGCAAGACACACGCAGGGCAGATGGGGAAATCAGCGGCACAAGGCGGTGACTTGCCAATGGTCACACGGTGGCTCGGTGGCGGAGGACTCGGGGCGTCTGAATCCCAGTTCAGCACCCCACCTTACAAACTTGCAGTTCTCAATGAGGGGCCCCCTGAGAAGCAGAAGCAGGTTTCAGGGGGCCCACCAAAGTAAACCAGATTGCAAGGCCAGTGTGAGACTCGCTGGGGCACAGGGTGGAAGGCTGAAGCCAAAGCCCAAGCAACTGAGTTTTGCTGGGTCCCCGCGGCATGGGGCCCTGGGCACTTGCTGTGCTCACTCCCCCTAGTGCCAGCCCTGGGTTTTACATGCAGGAAAAGCCTTGTTGTGGCGTCTGTGGGCAGGGGAGTTTTTATCGCATGTTGGAGGGGCCTCAGAAAGTAAAAGGTAGAGAACCCTGTGGTGGACCAGACTGTCGGTCCTTTAAACCTGGCCTATGACACATGTCTGGGCAGTGCTGCCCCCGTGCCAGTGGCGGCAGACACCTAGCCACGTGAGAAGCACAAAAGCCTCGTCCTTTTCTGGATGCAGCAGCCAGACTCCCTGCTGCAGGCCGGTGGGGCTGGGCCAGCCAGAAGCAGGAGCAGGGCTGTGCACCTCGCAGGGATAACAGGGTCCTGCTGCCAGCGGGAGTTCAGGCTGCTGCCTCTTCGCCCTGCCCTGCAGCAGCTGCCAAAGGGGGCACGTCAGGGAGAGCAGCTACCTGCTGACGCTGCTGTTTGCAGAGCCTCTCCTGGGCAAGCTCCTGGAGCAAGTGCCTGCCTGCAGACCCCCTCCTGCTCCAAAACAGCCCCTGGTGGTGGCTGCTGCCCCAGCCCCACCCCACCTGCTGTATGTAGGGCGCTTCCCAGCAGGCACGGCTCGCTCAGCTGCACGCGTAGCATGGTCATCGCCTCCCAGGGGTGCAGATGCCAAAGGGGCTCCCAGCCCCCCAGGAACCATACGCAGACTTGGCAATCTCTAAATATTGCCTCCCTGGCTGCAGGCAAGCTCTTAACTGTGGAGTGTCCCAAGCACCGACCTCCCGAAGCAGAGCATTCTGGGAAGGGAGCCTGGCCCAGTGGTTGGAGATGGGGAAGCTGGCTTCTCTTCCTGACTAGGAAAGGGCTGTGCTCTTTCTGCTAGAGCAGGGAGGATGGAACATCAGGACTGAGTCACTGCTCGGGAGGACAGTGTGGCTTAGTGGTGAGAGGAGGAGACTGGGAGTTGGGAAGCTGTGATCTGGGATGATTCTGGTTCTGCCATTGACCTAGGATGTGACCTTGGGTGAGTCGCTGCCCCGCTCTGTGCCTCAGTTTCTCCATCTGTAAAATGGAACAGATGCCTGCCTGCTGGGAAGTAGGGTCCCATGCCTGGGGTGAAGGGTGAAATGGAAATCCTGGAGAGTGGGTGCTGGAGTGGGAGGCCTCTGTGATCTATCCAGCGGTGGTGCCGTTCTTGGGGAGCTGTTGTCTGTAGGTTTCTGAATGCTGTGGCGGAGGGGTGGAAGCTCAGGGTGACGCTGCGAGCAGAGGAGGCTTGTGGCAGAAAGACCCGAATGGACGTTCCCTAGTGAGAGAGGGAAGCATTGAGCCTCATGGCTGTCCTGAGACGCAGCTGGCATTGCATTTTTTGCCCTGCAGGCTTGATAGACCGTTCCCTCTCCCGCACTGTACCGCCACCCTGCTACGTCTCTGCTCTGTGCTCCCCCCATTTTCCTTCTTGCAATGCCGGGCTCATGGGCACCAGGGTCTGAGAGCCCTGCGAGGTGCAGCTTTCCCTCCCCAGCTCCCTCAGGGCCCCGCCACCCCCTCCCATTCCAGATCTACCTCCTCCCCCACCACCATCTGCTTCTGAGGATGAGCAGAGGCGGCACCACATTTTGGGATGGGCCCTAGGCCTAGAATTGCTCAGCTTCTCCTCATCTGTGACCTGAACCAGAACTGCAGCAAGGGAGATTTAGGTTGGACACTGGAAAAACTTCCTACCTGTCAGGGTGATAAAACACTGGAATAAATTGCCTAGGGGGTTGTGGAATCTCCATCTCTGGAGATATTTAAGAGCAGGTTAGACAGACACCTACCAGGGATGATCTACAGTGCTTGGTCCTGCCGGGAGCACAGGGGACTGGACTCAATGACCTCTCGAGGTCCCTTCCAGTTCTAGTGTTCAGTGTGGTGTGAAAGGCAAACTTTACCTCTGTGAAGCTGCGCCCCATCTGCCTTTTGAGGAGAGGGGGGCTTGAGCGCTGGGTGGGTGCTGAAGATGGCTGCACGCAGACTGGAAAGAAGGCAAATGTGTCCAGCAGTGAGGGGAATGAACCCCTGGCATGGGTTCCCCAGGGTTGTGCCGGATCTGGCGTCTCCGTCACTGGCAGTTTTAGAATACAGCTGGGATGTCTACCCCAAAGATTGGCTCTAAGGATTATTTGGGGGGTGGGGGGGGAAGGGGGAGGTTTTTGCCTGTGTTAATCAGGGGTCCCGTGAGCCATGGAGTCTACCAGTCATGGTTCAAACTGAGCCCAGCATGCTCTGAAACCCAAAGCTTGTGACCCCAGGACAGGCTGTCACTCAGACAGCGATGGGTTTCGGCAACGTCACGGGCTAACCTCTCTCCCCTCCCCCAGGTCTGACTGGCCACGCAGAAGTGGTCAGGGTTGTGTACGACCCACAGAAGATCAGCTATGAGGCGCTTCTCAAAGCCTTCTGGGAGAACCACAACCCCACCCAAGGTAAGGCGGGGGGATTCGGCACCCTTAGGATCAGCGAGTGGTGCCAGAGGCAGCCTCTGTAACCAGCCTGGAAGTGTCTAGACTCAGGTTTTTGGCTGTAGCTCTCTGAGCACCCCGGCTGCCAGCTGAGAAGGAGTGTGGGCCATCTTCATCCCCCAGACCTGGATCCCTGCAGTGGTCTTGGGGTGTCCATCCTGCCCCTAGAGGGCGCTGTGAGCGCAGCCCCAGGAATACTAAAGGGCTGCGGGGCCCGTCCACACTGATGGACATCGCTTGCTGCCGCCGTGCCTCTTGTCCGCACGGGGTGGCTGGGGATGAGCGAGACTCTCCCTGCTCAAGGGGGCGTGTCGCCTGCGTGCCTGGGCAGGGAAGTCAGAGGGGTGTGTAGCCGAATCAGGGCAGCCCTACGCCAGGCCTGGCCAGTGACTTGTGGCCGGGAGAGCAGGTTCTGTCTGCAGAGCTCAGCGTCCAAACACACAGGGTGACGGCAAGGCTCTTCTCCCCCATTTTGCGGAGTGGGGAAACTGAGGCGCAGAAGGCTGCAATGACTTGCCTAAGATCTCATACAGGAGTCTGGGTCAGTGCTGGAAATTGATCCCAGGTCTCCCGAGTTCTACAAGCCCTGGCTGGTGTGGGCTACAAGCTCCCTGCCCGTGGGCTGTGGTGGGAGCGGAGGATCCTCTGGGACCCCCAGGCCGTTGCTTGGGCTGGGTGGTCTGTCAGTGCAGGCAGTGCCGGTGGTCCCCTGCGCCTTTGAGAACCAGAGCTACTCATCGGTGTTCAGGACAGAAGGGCTCCCCACAACCTGCTAGTCACTGTGTCTTGCAGGGCTGGGGAGGAGCACATGGAGGAGGGATGCTACATGGACCAGGTCCAGGTGCTGTTAATCCCTCTTCTCACCCTGCCTTCAGCCTCTTTCTGTTGTAAATCGCATGGTCTCCACTCCCCCTCCCAAAGGTGTCTCTGCTGCTAAATGGCTCCGACCCCAGGACAGCTCTGCAGTATGCCGGGGATGCTGCAGCTGACAAGGGGCCTCGGGAAGCTGGCGGCTCAGCTGTGCAGAGGAGGGGGCATAGAATAAGGAGGGGGAGGGCAGGAAGGACTCTTTGAAACGCCTCTCACGTCGGCAGCAGGCAGGGGGCCGAGGGAGAGACTGGGCTGGGGCCCCGTTGCACCAAAGTATAATTTTAATGAGGAGATTAGCAGTCTCTGCATGTCGCTGGCTGGCTTCTAATTGCGTGTTTGTGTTTTAACCGGCAACGTGTGTCCGCGCGGCGGATGGGGTGTTGGGGAGGGGGCATGGCCGGTGCCACCTTTGGGCCCTGCCGCATTGGAGGGACCCTCACCCTACCCCCAATACAGAATTCAGGGTTTACACGAGGTGACGTTGTGGCAGTTGCTTGGGAGGTGGCGTGTTCGTGTTCCCACGGGGGCTGGCCCAAAGCTGGGCCACCCGGACAGACCTCGCCCCGTGCAGCCGACAGGGGAATGGCTGGGAGGCGAATGGAGGCCTAGTGGGATGGTGTCGCTGTAGGCCAGTGGCAGAGCTGGGAATAGGCTCTGAGTCCCAGCCCGCCGCACTACCCACTGGAGCACGCTGTCTCCATGGAGGCCCTGATCTATGCCCCGGGGGAGGGAGGCCTTGTGCCTTTCATACCTTGCATCCCCCCCCCCATGACACTTGGATGTCCTGGGCTTGTCTCTGTTGCCATGGTAGCAGGCTAGCTCCTGGGCATGGGCCCCCCAAACTCCTAACACGCCTGTCGCAGAGGGAAGTCCCAGGCCCCTTCGTGCCTTTACTCCCCCGTCTGATTGGCCTCAGGAGCGGAGGCCATGGGTGCGAATCACTGTCCTGGCATCAAACCCGCTGCTGTGCCAAGTCCTCCCCGCTGGGCACCCGAGCTTCCCAAACAGCTGGGGGGTCTGGGCCCTGCTGAAGGACAAGCACAGGCCTCTGAGCCCAAGCAGCTGCTTGGCCTCGGCACACCCTTTGCCTAGCTCTGTGGGAGCAAAGGGTGGTTCCCACGCTGGTTCGCATGGCTCCCCTCCCTGCTGGCTGCAGGCCCAGTGCCCTCTGCATGGAGGGCTGCCCTAGGAATAGTGTCTCGCAGCTCAGACCCCCCCCCCCTCAGTGACTGGGCCCGAAGCTGCTGGGATGGAGGGGAGAGGAGGCTGGAGGAGCACAGGGACCGGGCAGGATTTGCAAGCTCTTGGACAAGAGGTAGTTGAGGGGTCTGAGTGGTGACACGTCTAGCCGGACACAGCTCCTCTTGGCCCATGTCCCCACTTGCTACAGGACTGCTCGTCCACGGCACTCCGTGCACGTGCCTCAGCATCACAGATGGGGGAACTGAGGCACAGAGGCCAGGCAGCGATAGAGCTGGGAATTCTACCATCCCAGTGATTGAACTCGCAGCGCTTCTAACCTCTCTGGGGCAGTTGGACCAGGAGGGGCTGCTCTACTGTCACCCCCCCAGCAGCTTGAGGGTCCCTAAAGCCAGTCCCGCCCCATCTCCCCGGACCATCTGGCTAAGAGGACGCCCTCGGGCCTCCAGCTGCTCCTCTGCCCCAGTAACTCTCACCTCTGAGGGCGTCCTGTGGTTGCACTGAGCACCGTTCCCAGTGCGCGACCAGCCAGAGTGCCGTAATTTATGCAGATTAATAACTGGCTGGAGCCCTGGGCTGGCTAGGAGCTCCGAGGGTGCATTAGACCCGTACCCAGCTGTGATGAACAGCCCAGGCTGTGATGGGAATAGTAATCGGAGCGGCTGTGTCCTGGCAGGTGAAGAGGGCGCACGGACAGCCATGCCACTGATTGGACTTCCTGGGCTGTGCTCTCCCTTCTGCAGTTCCTGCCCACTTGGGTAGGGCTGGGCGCCTGACCCCCACTGAGTCCGGGGGAGCTCTGCCGGTTCCCGCCAGCTGGGCGCCTGACCCCCACTAAGTCCGGGGGAGCTCTGCTGGTTCCTGCAGGCTGGGCGCCTGACCCCCACTAAGTCCGGGGGAGCTCTGCTGGTTCCTGCAGGCTGGGCGCCTGACCCCCACTAAGTCCGGGGGAGCTCTGCTGGTTCCTGCAGGCTGGGCGCCTGACCCCCACTAAGTCCGGGGGAGCTCTGCTGGTTCCTGCAGGCTGGGCGCCTGACCCCCACTAAGTCCGGGGGAGCTCTGCTGGTTCCTGCAGGCTGGGCGCCTGACCCCCACTAAGTCCGGGGGAGCTCTGCTGGTTCCTGCAGGCTGGGCGCCTGACCCCCACTAAGTCCGGGGGAGCTCTGCTGGTTCCTGCAGGCTGGGCGCCTGACCCCCACTAAGTCCGGGGGAGCTCTGCTGGTTCCTGCAGGCTGGGCGCCTGACCCCCACTAAGTCCGGGGGAGCTCTGCTGGTTCCTGCAGGCTGGGCGCCTGACCCCCACTAAGTCCGGGGGAGCTCTGCTGGTTCCTGCAGGCTGGGCGCCTGACCCCCACTAAGTCCGGGGGAGCTCTGCTGGTTCCTGCAGGCTGGGCGCCTGACCCCCACTAAGTCCGGGGGAGCTCTGCTGGTTCCTGCAGGCTGGGCGCCTGACCCCCACTAAGTCCGGGGGAGCTCTGCTGGTTCCTGCAGGCTGGGCGCCTGACCCCCACTAAGTCCGGGGGAGCTCTGCTGGTTCCTGCAGGCTGGGCGCCTGACCCCCACTAAGTCCGGGGGAGCTCTGCTGGTTCCTGCAGGCTGGGCGCCTGACCCCCACTGATTGGTGGATCTCTGCCGGTTTACTCCAGGCATGTGGCCAGGGATGATGCTATTTCCCTTCCCCTGAAGTGGGTTATGGCAGGATCCTCTGAGAATCTGTGGCCCCTCCCAGAACTGTAGGGTGGGGGCAGCTGAGCGGATGCCTGGTGTTCAGTTGTCTGCTTGGACCTGGGAGGGTGGGGAGAACAGAGATGGAGAATCCATCTCAGGGAACAGGTTAGGGGATGTGCTGAGAGGAGGAGTGCTTGGTAGGGTTGCCAGGTGTTCGGTTTTCACCCAGACAGTTCGGTATTTGGGTCCCCGATCCAGTAAAAAAAAAAACAACAGAAAATACCAGCCATGTGAAATGTCCGGTATTTCCTGTTTCCCTCAGACAGAAGCCTGGCAGGGACAATTTCCCCCTGCCTTGTCTGCTGGGGCTGGGGGAGTGAGGCGTGCAGGGCCCTTTAAAGGCGCAGTGCCCCCTTTTTTCTTTTTTTGTTTGTTTTGTTTTTGCTTAACAAATTTGCCCCCCCCCCTTATTTTTTCTCAACAGAATTTTTTCCAAGTGGCTTTTTTGGGGGATGGGGATGTTCAGTATTTTTGTTAAATCATCTAGCAATCCTAGCGCTTGGTGACCCTGGTAGTGCAGCCCATTGGGGGGCTGAGGGAAAGGGAAGCTCAGAACATAGTGAGATGGGCTTAGCACCCTCTCTTGCTGCAGGACCTAGTGGGACTAGTGAGCCAGGAGCTCCCTGCTTCCAATCCTGCCTTCCTCCCGCTGTGCCTCCGTCTCCCCCAACTCACGTGGACCACACTGACCTAAACAGGCTGCAAGGCTACATCAATGGCTAGTCTACCTGGCCACAAAACCTCCTGGTTAAGTGTACTGAGGGGAGCTCATAGGGGCTCTTCCCATGCTCCTACTCTGTGGCTAGGCACAGTTAGCAAGGATGCCAGCCTTGCATTGCTCAAAGCACTCTCGTCCCTTACTCTGTCTCTGTTCAGAGGGGAAGGAGAGCGCAGTGGTTAAGGACCTAGACTGGGACTGAGGGGATCTGGGTTGAATTCCTAGCTCTGCCACTGACTTCCTGTGTCATCGTGGGGCAAGTCAAATCTCTCTGAACCTCAGTAGCCCATCTGTAAAATGGGGATAATGAGCCACCTTTTGTCTGGTCTAGCTGCAAACTCTGTGAGGGCGGGACTGTCTCGCAATGTGTCTGTGCAGCATCTAGCACAGGGAGGGGGGGGTCCCTGATCTCGGTGCTACCGTGATAGTTGGAACTCCTACAGGCTACTGATACTGCATTACGGTTTGTTTGAATAGGGGAGCAGAAAGCAGCCAGTGAAACTCAGCAGTCAGCACTGAGCCAAATGAATCCAACTGTCTGTGCCAGCAGGGGTGAGGTTGGCCCTTAGGTTCAGTGTGAACGCTTTTTTGGGGGGGGCGTAGGTGCCTCTCTTCAGCACGCTGGGTGTGCCTGAGCGTGTGGCACCTGCTGCCCCTTAACCCGCTGTGTGTGCCTGGCTGTCTCTCAGGCATGCGGCAAGAGGAGAACGTCGGCACCCAGTATCGCTCAGTCATCCACACGTTCGGAGCCCAGCAGAGGGAGGCTGCCCTGAGGTCGAAGGCAACGTACCAACAGGCAGGTTTGGAGCAGAGGTTATTCCTCTGGGGTAGGGTGGGGCAAAGCAAGTAGCTTAGTGTCTCTTCCGTGTTGTCTCATCCTTCAGCTGCTCTCTGCATTCCACTCCTCTGTGGGTGTAAATGAGGTGGGATGCTCTTCTCACAGACCTTCTGTCCCCAAAGATCTGTAGCAGAGGCCAGAGTGGCAAATCAGTCTTTTCCCATCCACACTGATCTTGGTCCCACACTCTGCTCAGCATCCCAGGGTATCCAGTTGTTGCCACTAAAATGGGAAAGGAGATAGTTAACCACGTTGCCATATGTGTCTGTCATCAGTAGGCTTCAGAGTGAACACTCATGTCTAGGGAGCTGCTTCAGGCTGGTTAAAGCAATGGGAGCCAGCCCCCATTCCGCAGAACCCCACTCAGGGTATGTTTATACTACCCCGCTAGTTCGAACTAGTCTGGGGCCATTGCTGAAGTGCTGAAGGAGGCTTCTCGTGTTGGGGCTGCCTTGCATCTCGGTCTGTGGGTGCAACAAATGCTGGGAACCTGAGAGGGTGGAGCGCTGTTCCCCTCATGGTGTCAGCGCATCCCCAGCTGCTGCCCCTGTGTGCTGTGGCTAGGCTCTACCCTCTGAGCAGCCTGCGGGGGAGACAAAAGGGAGGCAAAGCCTGGCTAGTTAATTACCCCGGTATGGTCCCCGTGCCTCTCTGATGATGGGGGGGGGGGCGGTTTCCTTGGCAACCTGCCACCACGGCAACTGACAGCTTGGGGCGAGGGTGGGGGGTGGTGTGAAGGTCATTGACTGAGACAGGTGCAGCATCCCCTGTAAATGATTCCCTGCCTGGTCTGGCCAGGGCTGGCCTTACCATGAGGCAAACTGAGGTGGCTGCCCTGGGAGCCAGACTGTGTGTGTGTGTGTGTGTGTGTGTGTGTGTGTGTGTGTGTGTGTCGGGGCAGAGTGAGGGGAGTCACGGGCAAAGCTGGCGGAGCAAGTCTCTAATGGGCTGCGCAGTTTTGGGCTGTTCAATTGCAAGCTCAAGGGGCAACTGCTGATCTCTCGGCTCAGCGCTGGGCCACAGACTCTTGGGAGTGAGCAGATCTTGCCATAAAATCACCTGCCCTCAATAGATCCAGGTAGGAGCCAGTTCTGAGGGGGGCTGAGCCCCAGGAGCGCAGGGTGGGTGCTCAGCGTAGCGTCGGCACTCGCCCAGCCCAGCCTAGCCCAGCCCTACAAGGCCTTCCTCAAATTCTGCCCCGTTTCCACGGTGACGGTGGGCTGGCTCTGAGCTGGCGCGGATCCCGCCGCTCCGTCTCCAGGGGCTGACTCTGGATTTCCAGAAGTGTGACGGAGATCAGAATCCAGCCACGTCTCGGGGATCCCCGGTGACATGTAATGAGGCTCTGTGCCAACAGCTCCGCTTCCCGCAGCCTATTAACCATGCAAAGCTATTCCCTGGCAAGGGGAAAAAGCTTCCGTCCCCAAGTCCCAAGGGAGGGGCCAGTACGCTGCCCCCAGGAACAATCTCTTATTTATACATTCCCTGTCTCTAGGGAGCCGCGCATACCGGGCGCTCGGCTGGGCCTGTGCTCAGTGACAGCAGCAACTTTGCATTTATTAATGGGGCTGAAGGAACTGAGCAGCGTGGTTGGCAGATGCCTCCTGGGACTCAGTGTCTCCACAACTTCTCCACTCCTCATCCAGGCTCCACCTCCTCTGTGGGGAGAGAGGCTGTCAGTGCTGCACCAGGTGTCTTGCTTGGGCCAGCCGTGTGGCATCTTCCTCTGCTGCCATGGTGAGGAGGGCGCAGCCGCTGGCCTTCCCCTGGCCTGGATTCTGTTCCTGGCTGTGAGATCTGGGGCAAATCAGCCCCACTCCGTGCCTCAGTTTCCCCACCTGTGAAATGGGGGTAATGCCTCTGATCTCTCTCTCTCTCTCTGCCATTCTTCTTTCAGGTATGTGGATGAAAAGTGCTAATAAGAGCCTAGGATTTGTGTTTACCTGACCCCTTAGCCACCCACTGAACTCAGCCCTCCTCCCAGCCCTGCATTGCCTCCGCAGGAATCGCCGAGGCCCCTCTCCTAGACAGTGAGGTGCTGGTCTCTGCCCATGGGTAAGAGGAGAGTTAACCAAGCAGGGAGGAGCTGAGGCCTGACACGGGTTGAGGAAGTGCTCGTGTCGTGATCTGGGCACAATGGGATCGACAGACTTGCCGAGCCCCTGGGCAAAGTGGGAGGGGCGGCTCCTGGAAGGGGCAGGGCCTCAGCCAGAAGGGGTGGGGTTGGGGCAGCCAGCCCTTAGCATTGCCTGGAGCGTGCTGCACTGTGCTCCAGCGGCGATTTAAAGGGCCAGGGGCTCCGGTGAGCTCTGGGCCCTTTTGAATCACCAGGCCCCAGGGCAGTTGCCCTCTTTGCCCGTCCCCACTCCTCTCCCCATTGGCAGGCCAGTCTGGGCCCAAAATAGACAGTGCTTGTATGGCCATGGGCTGCTCTAGAAGGTAGGGCTGAGGCATGGGGGTGGGGGAGCCTGCCCTTGCTTCAGGGCTAGAGGCTGTTGCTCTCCAACCCCTGCCCCCCCCCCACCTCTCCCATCTCTGCAGCAGCAGGGGGGTTGAATCCCTTTCCTTACCCTGGTTTGCTACCACAGCTCCTCCCCCAACTTCAGGCCCCACTGGGTTCCAGTTAATTAACTGGGCCTCCTTATCAGCTCCCACAGCAGCATCCCTGCTGCATGTGAATTAATTCTGCCCAAGATAAGCTGCATTGTTCTGGGCCCCGAAGAAACGAGTCTCCCTCCCTCTTTGCCCCCCCATTCCCCTTCCCCCCCTGCACATCTGCTGGAGAGTCTCCAGAGCCACTGACTCCTTTGATGTGGGGCGCATCGTTAATTGCATTAAAGAGCTGGCTGACAGGCGAGCGCTGATGGGAGCCGCAAGGGGCTTTACCCAACTGGAGACAAACCCCACTCGCCTCTTAGGCAGCCCCTCCCCTTCCTCTGGATCCTCATCTTAGCAGATACCCCTGCCCTGACTCAACACCCCGTTTTCAGCACCTCCACTCACCTTGGCTTGGCTCAGTGGGTGGTCACCAGTGGCTCTGACAGGAGGTGCTTCTCCTTTTCTGGGAGCAGCCCATGCAGACTTTCTGAGGGAGCTCTGTCCAGGGGCCAGGACACAGGGTTGAGCAGCTAGAGCTCTGGGTTCTGTCTCTGCCATAAATTGATCTCTGCCTCAGTTTCCCCTCATCTGTCAAATGGGGATTGGGGTACTGAGCAGCCTTCACAAGTGGCCAATAGGCTTGGGTGTCCTGTTGTACCAGGCACTGCATAGCCATGGCTGGATACCGACCCTGCTCTGGAGGACTTGCAGTCTGAGAATGTGTCTGCATGTGCAGTGAGGCCGGATTGTGAACTAGGGATGTAAAATCCCATTTAATTGGTTAAATCGGTTAAATGTGATGTTTAACAAGGGGCAGGCAAGGGGCCTGTTCCAGCCTGGCCATGGCAGGCAGGGGCTAGTGCAGCCCCTTTACTACAGGCTAGAAGCTGCTCCAGTCCCCATACCAGTAAGCATCACTTGTTAAGGGTTAACCAGGTAACCTTTCATATCCGAAATGCAGAGTGCTCCACTTAGGAAGGAACAATCAGTTCCATACATACAAGATGGGAAGCGACTGTCTAGGAAGGAGCATGGCGGAAAGGGATCTAGGGGTCATAGTGGACCACAAGTTGAATATGAGTCAACAGTGTGATGCTGTTGCAAAAAAAGCAAATATGATTCTAGGTTGTATCAACAGGTGTGTTGTAAGCAAAACTCGTGAAGTCATTCTGCCGCTCTATTCTGCACTAGTTAGGCCTCAGCTGGAGTACTGTGTCCAGTTCTGGGCGCCACATTTCAAGAAAGATGTGGAGAAATTGGAAAGGGTACAGAGAAGAGTGACAAGAATGATTAAAGGTTTAGAGAACATGACCTATGAAGCCAGGCTTCGTGAACTGGGCTTGTTTAGTTTGGAAAAACGAAGATTAAGGGGGGACATGATAGTGGTTTTCAAATATCTAAAAGGGTGTCACAAGGAGGAAGGAGAAAATTTGTTCCTCTTGGTTTCTGAGGACAGGACAAGGAGTAATGGGCTTAAAGTGCAGCAAGGGAGGTTTAGATTGGACATTAGGAAAAAATTCCTAACTGTCAGGGTGGTCAAATATTGGAATAAATTGCCAAGGGAGGTGGTGGAATCTCCCTCTCTGGAGATATTTAAGAACAGGTTAGATAGACATCTGTCAGGGATGGTGTAAGTGGAGCTTGGTCCTGCCTTGAGGGCGGGGGGCTGGACTCGATGACCTCTTGAGGTCCCTTCCAGTCCTATGATTCTATGATTCTATGATCCCTAGAGTGAACTCGGCATTTCCAAGCCCATGCTGAAGTATCCGCACTGCATTGGAAACCTGGGTTCACAATTGCTGACACTGGCGCTCTTGCTAGTGCTAACACATCTATGCCGTGCTGTGAGACCTTGTGACTCGGCTCTGCGGCTTCACCTGCATTCTCACTGCAGAATGGCAGGGTGCAGAGCAGACCTGAGCCAGAGAGGGGTTTGGGCGCTGATGAAAATAGACCTGTGTCCTGAGTAAGGATGTTAAGAAGTGGGTAATTGACTAATTGTGGAGTTGATACAATTTGTGTGAACTACGTGGCTGGTGAGTCTTGCCCTCATGCTCAGGGTTTAGCTGATCGCCATGTTTGGGGCCGGGAAGGAATTTTCCTCCAGGGTAGATTGGCAGAGGCCCTGGAGGTTTTTCGCCTTCCTCTGTAGCATGGGGTACCGATCACAGCTGGTGGATTCTCTGCATCTTGGGGTCTTCAAAGTATTTGAAGGCTTCAATATCTGAGATATAGGTGAGAGGATTATTCTAGGAGGGGTGGTTGAGATTCTGTGGCCTGCACTGTGCAGGGGGTCAGACTAGAGGATCATAATGGTCCCTTCTGATCTTAAAGTCTATGAGTCTTGTCTATAAGGGGCCCCGCTGCGGCTCTGCAGTTTAAATGTAGTAGGAGCCAGGCATGCAGGCAGCCCAGCTTCTACTACATTTAAACTGCAAAGCAGCAGCAGGGAGAGGTCCCAGACCCGGGCATCTCTTACTACATTTAAAATGCAGAGGCGCAGAGGTCCAGGACATGGCGCGAGTCGGGACTGAGCAGTCCCAGCTCGCTGCACCTCTGCCTCCCCTGTCCCCACCCCCAACACCACAGAGACGGTGCTGGGTGGAACCAGCTTTTAAGCCAACTCCCCCCAGCACCAGCGCCTGCTTCCCCACTCTTGCTGTCTCTGATACAAAGGCAGCAAGTGGCGGGTGGGGAGCAAGTAATTGAGTCGTGACTCAACTACCCGATAAGTCTAGGCTGGTCGACTACTCACTTACATCCCTAGTCCTGAGTGCTTGCTGACCCAAATCAGCCTAATGGGGGGGGGGGGGTGTGTGGAAGTGGAGTTTGGGCTCAGGCTGGCTCAGACCCCAAGCTTCATCGGCAGGACAGATACAGCCTATGGAGATGAGCAATGTAGGAAAGTTCAGGGAGAGCCCCTAGTGGTTAGTGCAGCAGATTGTAGCTGAGCCCTACTGAGGGAGTATGCTCAGGTGCTGAGAACTGGGACTCCTGGGAGCTATTGCTGACCAATGTTCTCTAGAAGGTGCGCGCCTCTGCGGCCGCGCACAAAAATTCTGCACCCGCCCGCCTCCTTTGCAGAGTCATGCAGCAGCACTCCTGAACCTGGATGGTGAGTGGCGTGGCTGCTCCCGTGGCCGGGGCCACGTGGTGGGTGGGGATGGGGACAGGACTGTGGTGGGAGGCAGCTGCTCTGGCTGCTGCCAGGGCGGAAGCCATGTTGGGAGGTGGGTGCCGCCAGGGCCGAGGCCACGTGGCGGGTGGCTGCAGCTGCTGGGAGTTGGGGCTGTGGGCCTGTCAGGAGGAGCAGTGGGGGGTGAAAGAGGAGCCAGTGGGGCTAGTTGTGTAACAGGGCAGAAGGTGGGGCAGGAGCTAATGCCTCTGCACAGTAAGTGGGGCTTTCTTCCATAACAATTTAAAATAGAGATATGTATTAGGAACGATGAATGCCATGGTGTCACATGTCCAAACAAGCGCATGTGACCTCAATACTGGTGCACAGGACAAAACTCACTCTGCTCACGGATGGAGAATTTTCCAGGGAACGGTGTTCCTGACCTGGGGCAAGTGGGTTTCCCTCTCTGTAAAGTGGCACTAACAATCCTTCACTCCCACCCGGGGCGGCTCAGATGCTGCATGACACGGGTGAGAGGCAAAGGATGCTCGGAGACACATTTTAGTCAAGGCCTTTGAAGTCCTTGGCTGACAGGTGCTATTGCAGAGCACGTTGCTCCGGATGGAGAGCGGCACAGCCTGGACTGGTGGCCCTTGAGAGATTGCTGGGTCTCGTGGAAGCCAGCTGGGATGCTGAGATCTAGGAGGAAACACTCCCCTGTGGATGTAGGAGATGTTTCCCCTAAAGGGAAGTAGTGTGCTGATCCTCCTCTCCTTTTCCTTGCCCCAGAGAAGCTTTTGTCAGAGAACTTGAGCCCTTAGGCCCTCAGAACAGGGCTCAAGCCATAGACCTGGATCTAAAAGCTTGAGTTATACCTGCCTCTGCTAGGGGCTGAGCCCATCGTGTGAGAAGAGCAGCTGCAGTATAGGTTGTAGCTCTGAAAACGGGCACTCTCTGGTCTGGAAGGACCACGGGTGCTCCTGGACCAGAGAGCCCAGGAGCCTAAGGGCAGGAGGGCCAGCCAGGACTGGGACAAGACCGGATTCCCCCAGCAGCCCGTGGCAGCTGAGGGCTGGAGCCCCATGGCAGCTCCCAGGAATGTGGGGCTGGGGTCCTTTGGCATTCCCTGGGAGCGATAGGTTTGGGGGCCGCTGGCAGGTGACCTCCCCTGGTCCGGCAAATTCTCTCTCTGGACTATTCCCTGGGAGCGATAGGTTTGGGGGCTGCTGGCAGGTGACCTCCCCTGGTCCGGCAAATTCTCTCTCTGGACTGGTCAGGTCCCCATGGTGCCGGACCAGGGAGGTCCAATCTCTAGTAGATTCAGAAACTGCTTCTGTGGTCCAGCCACTAGGGGGAGACAGAGCAGCATGGCGTGGGGAGGATTGCTACAGGCTGATGGTGTTGCCTGTAAGCTGTGAAATACCCAGTCGCAGAAAGGGGTGGGGCAGAAATCGCTAAGCACGGCTCGGCAGCGTCCAGTCACACCCTTGGGAGCAGGCTGCCCGCCTCCTACTGCCTTTTAAAGTGCAGTGGGGTTTGGTCACGAGCCGGGACTGAGCCGGAGGCCTTACCCTATTGACTAATCGAGTAGCCAATAAAAATTCTATCGACTTATCGATTAGTAAAATAACCTCATTTTAGCATCCCTAGTACCCACCAGGCTTAGAACCAGTTAGGAAAATGGGTGTCACGTGGCCCCCTTGTGGTCTATTTAGTGAACTGCAACGTTTGCACAGTTCCCGTTAGCTCAGAGATAGAACCGTGTCTGTCTAAGGAAATGGGAGGGGGAGAGGGGTGCAGTGCTAGGAGGGGTCCCAGGCAGTGTGTGCAGCCCTAGTCCTAAATTTCTTTTATGGCCAGCTGGATAGTGCTCATCAGGTCCGGATGCTTTACTTTGACCCATGTTCATGGTGCGCCCATCGCTGAGGTGTCTGGGCTGGGCGTGTGGCAGCTCTAGAGCAGGGTTTGTGCTGGTGGAAGAGGCAGTTTGATGCTAACACCCAGGGTCTCCCAATGAGAGTGGCTGTTGTGGGCAGGTCTCTATCTAGCCAGCTCTGCAAATTCCTGCTCCCGTTCTTAAGTCCTTTCAGGGGACTTGCATCGCAGTCAGCACAGGGGACTCTGGATTCTATTTCCAGTTCTCCAGCTGACCTGTCCAGGGCTGTCGACCAATGTGCAACAGGGCTCATGCCTACTGCTTGCCCCGTCCCCCCTCCCCCGGCGTGCCGCTTTCTGTGTGTTGCTCGGTTCTTGGGACTTGCTGGCCAAGAGCGTCACTGAATGGAAGTGAATAGAAAATGCTCCCTCCACCGCCGGTGAGGGTCCCTGCCCACTGCTGCATCGGCCCAGGGCCAGTCCCTGTGTCCCACTCCCCTGCCTGGAAGTGGACATGTGCCTGGTGTCAGGAGAAGCAGTAGCTGTTTTGACTTCGCTGCCTCTGGATTTTGCTGGTGGTGTCCCTGCTGTTTCCTTTCCCCAGATCTTGTCATGGCCTCTGCCCTGAGCTCCTGAACCGGGCCAGGATCGAGGGTCATTGTCAGACGTGTCGGCTTCCCACACAAATCCTGTCACCCTGGTTGCCTGGCTCCAGCTGGAGAAGTTGCTTGCTCCCTTTCCAGGAGCACTGCCCTTGACATCCTTTCTTCCTGTCTCCTCTTGCCAGGAACTGGCCAAGCAGCAGCTGGGGCCCATCACCACTGAAATCCAGGAGGCCGGGGAGTTCTATTACGCAGAGGATTACCACCAGCAGTATCTGCACAAGACCCCCAGGGGTTACTGTGGCCAGAAGGGGACCGGTGTGGCCTGTCCCATCAGCCCAATAGCCGAAAAGGAGCCCTGAAGGGAGTGCATCTAGGAGCCAGGGCCTTCCAACCCACCAGCAGTTGCCATGGGAACATAGATTCATAGACTTTAAGGTCAGAAGGGACCATTATGATCATCTAGTCTGACCCCCTGCACAGTGCAGGCCACAGAATCTCACCTACCCCTCTTAGAATAATCCTCTCACCTATATCTCAGATATTGAAGCCTTCAAATACTTTGAAGGTCCCAAGATGCAGAGAGTCCTCCAGCTGTGATCTGTACCCCATGCTACAGAGGAAGGCGAAAAACCTCCAGGGTCTCTGCCAATCTACCCTGGAGGAAAATTCCTTCCCGACCCCAAATATGGCATTCAGCTAAACCCTGAGCATGTGAGCAAGACTCACCAGCCAGACACCCAGAAATTCTCTATAGTAACTCCTATCATCCCTCCATTGACATATTTCCCACTGAAAATGAATGGTCAATTAGCTACCAAGATCATATTCTCTCATCAACCCATCCCCGAATCATAGAACTGGAAGAGATCTCAGAAGGTCATCAAGTCCAGCCCCCTGCTCTAGGCAGGACCAATCCCATCTAAATCAACCCGGCCAGGGCTTTGTCAAGCCGAGACTTAAACACCTCTAGGGATGGAGACTCCACTACTTCCCTAGGTAACCCATTCCAGTGCTTCACCACCCTCCTAGTGAAATAGTTTTTCCTAATATCCAACCTGGACCTCTCCCACCACAACTTGAGACCATTGCTCCTTGTTCTGCCATCTGTCACTACTGAGAACAACCTCTCTCCATCCTCTTTGGAACCTCCCTTCAGGAAGGTGAAGGCTGCTATCAAATCCCCCCTCACTCTTCGCTTCTGCAGACTAAACAGACTCAAGTCCCTCAGCCTCTCCTCATAAGTCATATGCTCCAGCCCCCTAATCATTTTGGTTGCCCTCCGCTGAACCCTCTCCAATGCGTCCGCATCCTTTTTGTAGTGGGGGGCCCAGAACTGGACACAATACTCCAGATGTGGCCTCACCAAAGCCGAATAAAGGGGAATAATGACATCTCTGGTTCTGCAGGCAATGCTCCTCTTAATGCAACCTAATATGCCATTAGCCTTCTTGGCTACAAGGGCACACTGTTGACTCATATCCAGCTTCTCATCCACTGTAACCCCCAGGTCCTTTTCTGAAGAACTACTACTTAACTGGTTGGTCCCCAGCTTGTAACTATGCTTGGGATTCTTCCGTCCCAAGTGCAGGACTCTACATTTGTCCTTATTGAACCTCATTAGATTTCTTGCAGCCCAATCCTCCAATTTGTCTAAGTCACTCTGGACCCTATCTCTGACCTCCAGCGTATCTACCTCTCCCCCTAGCTTAGTGTCATCTGCAAATTTGCTGAGGGTGCAATCCATCCCCTCATCCAGGTCATTAATAAAGATATTGAACAAAACCGGTCCTAGAACCGAACCTTGGGGTACTCCGCTAGAAACTGATCGCCATCCTGACATCGAGCCGTTGATGCAGCCTAGCATCTCATTTTAAGTGACCATTGTGAGCCCAGGTGGCTTTTCTTTTCGGGGCACCTCAGACCCAGCAGAGCTGGTGTGGCGGGTTGAGCACGGGGCAAACTAGCGCTTGATTCCCTTCCTGCCTGCGTTTCAGGAGAGCTGGACTGTCGCACTGGAGATGTCCAAGGGCTGCTCTGGGTCTGAGCCCCAGTGAGGCACCAGAGTTGAGAGCTTACCCCTTGGGCCTGGGTGCTTTGCTGTTGCCTCTGGGCCGGGTCTGTTCCTGCACCCGTTTGGCCCTGATTGAAGAGGGGCCCATCGGAGACGGCCGGCTGGCGATGATCCTGCATAGCCTCCAGGCTTTGTGCTGCTGGTTCCTCATGCTGATCTGTCTGCACCACCACCCCCTTCTCTCCTGCATGTCACTGGGGGTCACCTCGGCTCCTTGGGAAGCTGGAGCACAGGTGAGGAGGTAACTTGCGTGGAGAGTTTCCTTCCTCCGTTGCCATGGCAGAGGCAAGAAGAGACTCTTCCCCCTCCTACCTTGCACTTGGGCCAGTGGGGCTGGCTAGAGGACAGGGCAGACCCAGTGGCCCTGGGCAACCTCTAGCGTATAGGGCCTGAGGTTTTCAGCCTCCTTTGCTGCTGGATTTGCGACGGCCTGGGACAGGGGGACCTGGTGGCAGGCAGCAAACACTGTCCTCTGCCCACCTGGGTTTGCTAGACAAGGCTGGGAAGGCTGCAGCCCTCCCCTGCCTGCCAGCTACGGCCTCACCCCCTCCCCTATTTGATGATGGAGGAGCTGGGCCACTTCTGCAGGGTCCCATTGACTTGGAGCCATTAAACCACAGCCCAGGAAGCCTCCCCTCTTGGGGCTTGAGCCTGGCCTCTTTCCTCCCCTCCCATGGGAAGTCAGTGATGCCAAAGCCCCTGGATCCCTGCTGGTCCAGAGAATGAGCCTGCCCTAGAGACATGGACACAGGAACTGGCCAGGCTGCTGGAACTGGCACCCTGCAGCCCTTCCACTGCCACGGTCTCCCCCCTTGCACATGCTTCTACCTCCTGTCTGTGAGCCCACTAGGGGAGGGGAGCTGTCGCAGGCTGCTACCTGCTTGCCTGCAGAGGGCGCCCTCTCCTCTTCTCTCTGCTCTCCCGCCACTAGATGGGGGCTGGGGAGGAGGGACGTGCCCCAAGCCCCAGCTAGCCCAGGGGGAGCGGTGCTAGTCCAGGGCTTTTCCAGCACTCGCTGCTGGGGCTGCCCTAGCTGATCGGGTCCTAGGAGGTGCCACCCTGCATCCAGATTCCCACCTCCCTGTCACTTATTGCATTGACTGTTCCCCAGGAATCTGCAGGGCCCCCCCCCCCGCCCTATGTGCATGTCTCTTGGCTTCTCTGGGCCTCCTGGTACCCTCTGCTGCAGCACGGGGCAGGAACAAACTCTTCCAGCTCCAGCCCAGCATTGCCCTTTAGTTGAAGGAGGGGTCGTCTACTTCTCCCTGGCCCTGCCTCATCCCTGGAGCCCATGCAGCTCTGTCTAACCTAACCAGCCTGCCCCGAGCTCCCATCATGTCTCGCCACCTGTCCCTGCACATAACTGAGCCCACCACGGGGAGGGCAGATAACTGACATACAGGTGGGGCTGAGCCCAGCCCCCCTCTTAAAGGGCCAGTCCCCCTGTGACAGCAGCAGGCACCCCCCAGGTGGGTCACTTCTTTGGTGCAGAGTTTTGTTCCACCAGAAGCCACAGAGGCGGCAGTGCAGAAGCAGAGAGGCCCTGGGCTCTGCGCCAGAGTTGCCTGCTGCCGGCAGGTGAACATGCATTGAACTCTGCTGGGCAGAGAGGTGGCATTTAAATTGATGCTCAGATGGGTGGGGCTGGCCTCCTTAATTGGCCTGTGCCATTTGGATCCTCTGAAACGACCCAGCATCTCTTGGGCTGCACTGAATAAATGAAAGGGTTGATTTATTGATGGCAGCGCTCAGGTTGTGGCCGGGCTGATGAATGTGTTGGTGTCTGCATGTTGATGCTGCTTCTAATCGGTGTCAGGGCTGGACGGGGGAGATGTGATGTTAGAGGGGCTCAGGGTAATGGGGATATTACACAGCAGCTGCTAGGAGCCAAAGGCGTTGGCTTGCTCACAGCTCTCATACCTGGGGTTGCAGTTACAGGATGTTGCCTGTTCAGCACGTGGGTGTAAAGTGCTCCTTGCGCAGAGGAATGGGGAGTTAACTGGGATTCAGATGAGCCATGCCCTAGATAGCTCTTGCCATCTGCACCCCTTAGCCACTAGCAATTTCAAAGTAGGGCTGCTTCTGTCCTGAGAGCACAGACTCCTGCCACTAGAGCCATAGGTGAATCCCCATGAGCAGTATAGGATCTATGACAGACCCAAGGAAAAATTCAGATTCTGTCCACCAGAGGGCAGTCGTGCTCAATTCTAAGTGTGGTCTCTGCCAGGCCTGCTCCCCGGGACTCTTCCTTTCAGCAGCGAGGAGCTGTGATTCTTGGCCCGCAGACTGAACTGGTGTGTAGGAGGTAAAGAGCCATAAACCGACCACCCACCAAAGCTCCCTCGAAAGGCTGGTGGCGCCTGTCTGTCCTGAGTCTTAGCAGGAATTATCTTGGCGGGGCCCAGCCACGGGGAGTGACCCTGCCTTACGTTTCATCCCAGGAGGACACAGCTGTCCAGCACCACCGGCGTTAGAGCACCGCTCTCCAGGAGGGTGGGGGACTCCCAGGGCCGACCCTGCTCCCAAACTGTGCCAGAGGCCGGCCTCCTTCTCTAGCACCTCAGCGCTGATCTCATGTTCTCGGCCTGCCCCTGTATCTTTTCTCGGCCTGCGGCTGGCTTTGCAGGCGCGGTCTGAGTGTGCACGGAAATCCCAAGGCCATGTCCTCACAGGAGCATCGTGGCTCTGGGCCCATGTGCAAAGGCTGCTAATGGAGAGAGAAGTGGAGGAGGGGGAAGTAAGGGTGGTGATGGAGTATTTGGAGGGGGAGGAAAATGGCAGCGAGCTGGGTTTAAAACCGAGCCCGTCTCTCTTCAAGCGGGGCAACTGCTGCATCTGCCTCCTGAGTCCCGGTCCCCGCGTGGGGGAGCTCCTGCAGCCCTTGCCCAGGAATTTGGCTCCGGTCTTGGCTCCCCCATGGCGGTGATGTCGGCGCACTGCCAGCAGGTGGCGCTCTCTACTCATTGCCTCAATGGCTGGCAAACTGCACAGCGCCTCCTTCAATACTCAGACCCTCCAAAGCATCTGTAGGGGACAAGGTTTGGGGGAATGTTTTAAAAAGAAATCAAGGCTGTTTCCAGGGATCTTGGCGGGCCTGAGAATCAGCTTGTGGTGGTGGCCAAGGGGGCAACATTTTAATAAAGGCCTCCCTGATTGAATTCAGCTAAGCATGGGGAGCGTGTTATGCCTTTTATTTGGGGGAGGGCGGGAGACCGGCTCAGAAGCCGCTGGTTCAGAGCTCCTCTTCATTAAAACTTGCCGGTTGCCTGGCTTCCTTCGGGAAGGTGCCCCGGTATCCTTGAGCAGCTGGCCCAAGAATACAGGCCGAGGTTTTATGTCTGCCAGAAAAATGATATTGACTCATGTTTTTCGGTGCGTCTCCCTCCTCCATCTATCATTGGCTTTGAATATGGGGGACAATTTCAACCAAATGTCTCGGTCCAGTTACAGCTAA